CACAGACTGTTGGAAAATGATGTCAATAGACTTGCTCAACACAGGTTGGCCACAAAGCCTCAATTTGTTTAAAAAAAAAAAATTGTAGTATCTGCAAAGCACTATACAGGTGTGTCTGTATATCAGAATCACCTGGGCCCAGGGATCTTGTTAAAATGTAGATTCTGAGTCAGTATCTTTTGAGGGAAGAAAGGCACGTTCTCAGCAGTGGGGGGACCAAGAATGAGCCAGTTCAAAGCCCTTGGTTTAAATGAGCACCAATTGCATTCTGTCTCCAGGGCCGCCCCCTTCCAACTCAATCCCTGCAGGCACAGCAGTGGGCTAGGAGGCAGGACCCAAAGCAGAGTACTGGAAACCAGTTAGTTAAGGGTTTACAGCTCAGCTCTGGTAGCGTAGTGGTTACGAATTGGGTTGCTAATCTCACGGTTAGCAGTTCGAAACTACCAGCTGTTCTGTGAGAGAAAGATGAGGCTTTCTGCTCCCGTAAAGATTTATAGCCTCAGAAACCCTGTACCCTAACCCAGGGTCAGGGTCACTATAAAGACTCCACAGCACATAACAACAGAGCAATTGTTCACTCTGAAACATCTCTTCCTAATATCACGTGAGGGTTAAGGAGCATTGGTATCATTGGTATCTGAAGTGCCATCCAACTGAGGTTTCAGGATAAATGGTGGTAACCTGCGAATCATTGGGGGACTTGGTGGGCAGAGGCATATCTTAGGCAGGTATGGCTAGTGCCCTGGGTGCCGCCTGAAGGGGGCACCACCATGCTGTTTCTGTTAACCATTGTAGTTTCCAGTGCCAGCTATTAAAGATTCAGCAACTTATAAGTAATACCTATAGGAGCTCTGGAGTCCTGGTGTGGCGGTATGGGCTAACACATCAGACTGCAAAGTCGTTTGAACTGCAAGGTCAGCTGCTTCTTGGAAACCCTATATAGGGTCGCTATGGGTCGGAACTGACTCGACGACACTTATGAACAACAACAACATAGGTACTGTGTTCTGTAACTAGTCCTCTGATGGTGGGTATGGATGGGGTTTAACACCCCACTCCTTCCTGACCACCTGACTTTAAATTCTCTTCCTGGAGTTGCTGTCAAGTTAATTCCAACTCATAGGGCCAGCAACCCTATAGGACAGACTAGAAGAGTTCCTTAAGGTTTCTGAGACTGTAAATCTTTCCAGGAGCAGACTGCTTCATCCCATGGAACAGCTAGTGGGTTCAAACCACTGGCCTTTCGGGTAGCAGCCAAGTGCCTTCAGGGCTGTAGGGAGACGTTGAGAACAGAATTATTCTAACACTCTGCAAAGTGTGATCGGTGCCTACAGACAAGTACTCGGGGGCTCAGAGCGTCCAGCTGGTTGCTCACAGGCTTTCTGTGGAGCTAGGGCCACTCAGGATGGGTTGGGATGGTGGCAAGTGCAGGGACAGAGATGGGAAGAAGGGTTGGGGAGGGAAACCAGTGGAGTAGCACATTAGGTTTATAATGACTGATTTTTCTAAAGCACATTGCTAAACCTTTCTTTCAAGGTGTCCCTGGATAGGGTCCACACTGCCAACTTTGATTACTAGTCATGTACTTAACCATCTGTAACCACCCAGGGAGTCCTGAGGAAGAAAAAGGGCCTCTGCTAAGGCACGGAGACAGGAGCGTTAGGGACGTTCATGAGTCCTCAGTCCTTGTGGTTGGTTAGGGCTAGACTCTTGGTGTGATAACCACAAGGTCATCAAGTTCAAACCCACCAGCTGCCCCTCAGAGACCCTATACAGGGTCACTATAAATTGATACCAAAGGCACTTCACAACAACAACAACAACAGCAGGGCTGGGCCATGGGTAGTAGTGTGGGACTCACAAGCCCAGGACAGTAGGACTGGGGCCATAGTCGGAGGAGTCAGATTTCAAGACTAGGAATTGGGCTAAAGTCAGAAGGCTGACAGAGCTATGGAAATGTTCTACCAGAAAACTGTTGCCATTCACTGGTCCTCATTCTTCCAGGACAAGCCTCTAGTACCTGCTTCTCATTGCTTTTGGCCACTCTTAGCATGGCTTCCACAAGTAGTATTTCGAGGACAGAGGAATCCCCTGAAGCCAAAGGAATGTCCCTTTGAGTCTTCTAAATCCAAACAGGGTTTCTGGCCTGGGTTTCAGTCTCTTTGATGCTAAATCCATGTCCCCTCTACCCCAAACTCCAGGAACCCACTGCTCTTGACTTCAGGGACTCACTTATCTTCTTGTAGCTTCAAATACTCCTTGAACCTCCTTATCCTGGAAGGTCAACCAAGTAGAGCTCAACTCTATTGATCTGCGTTTCCCTTGGCGTCTTCTAATCCTTTTTCCTTTTTTTCAGTCCTCTCAATCAAGGGATTTATCAATCATTGATCTGAAGGCCTTATGGTCCCTGGGGTCAAAAGAACTCTGAACTAGAATTTAGCTTTCTCATTACCCCTAGCCAACTGTGTGATCTTGGCAAAACCATTTCACTGCTCTAGACCTCAGTTCCCTCATCTGCAAAAAGATAATGGCTAAAGTCCATGCAAGCTCCTAACCCACAGCCATCAAGTGCATTCCAACTCCTAGTGGCCTTGTGTAGGTTCCTAAGCTGTCAGTCTTTAAGGGAGCAGAAAGCCTCATCTTTTTCCTGTGTAACAACAGGTGGGTTTGAACCATCAACCTTGTGGTTGGTTCTCAGTCCACTGTCTGTTCTACAGCACCACCAGGGTTCCCTTTTCAAGCTCTAGAATTCCTGTAATATTCCCATCATTTCACAATTCCTATTGGGTCCATGATGATGTTCTGGGGATTCATCTCAGCCCATACTATCTAGCCAAAACCATTTGCCATGGAGTCCGTTCTGACTCATGTTGGCCCCATGTCTGCTTCCAATAGTTGTGACCTTTCCGAAGTATGTCACCAGGTCTTTGTTCTGTGCTGCTTGTAAGTGGATTCAAACCACCAACCTCTAGGTTAGTAGCTGAGCGCTTAGCCATTCATACCACCCATGGACTCTCTTGTCTAACCAGAAGCCAAACCACTGCCATCAAGTTGATTCCAGCTCATAATCGCCATGGGAACCAGAACTGTGCTCCAGAGAATTTTCTTGGCTGCCATCTTTCCTAGTGTGGTGCTGTGGGATAAAGCGCTAGACTGAAAGGTTGGTTTGAACCACAAGGTCGGCAGTTCAAACTCTCCAGTCGCTCCCTGGAATCCCTATACAAGGTCGCTATGAGTCAAAATCAACTTGACCTTGATGGCATTTAACAACAGCAACAGTCTTTTATGAAAGCAGATTGCCAGACCTTTCTTTTTGCAGCACCACTGCGTGGGTTCAAACTGACAATCTTTAGGTTAGTGCTAAAGGTTGTGTGCCATCGAGTTGGTTCCGACTCACAGAACTCCTGTATAGGATTTCCAAGACAGTAAATCTGTAGTGGTGGTGGTAGTTATGTGCCATGGAGTCGGTTCCAAGGCTGGCTAATGCTTCAGACTGCAAAGTCGTTTGAACTGCAAGGTCAGTGGTTCAAGCTCACCAGCTGCTCCTTGGAAACCCTATACAGGGTCGCTATGGGTCAGAATTAAATCAACAGCACTTAACAACAACAACAAATCTTTAGTAGATAAGCAGTGTTTGCGCCTCCCAGAGTTCCTTGTACAGATGCTTGTACATCGCCCCCATGTGGCCGTTCAGGAAATGACAGTACTCACCTGCATGTGTGGCAGAAGCAGAGCCTTCAGATGTGAACATGTTTCACGTGGTAACCCTAGTGTGAAGTTTGAGGCTCTTTTAAAAATACGTTTCCCTCTTCAGCCCTAAAATGAGAATCACATTGATAACTTAGGAGAAGGGCTCCTAGCTGCCCGTTTGAACCAACCAGCTTGGCACACGACAGTCACGAGTTTGAGATTTTTTTTTTTTTTTTTTCTGAACAGCTGTTATGTTCTTGAGGGAATCTGTTTCTTAAAGGCAGAGTGACAAAAGTTGGGACACCCTCCCGCCAAAAAAGCCCCACAAAGGTCCCCTTAGGTAAGGGGGGGTTGTCTAGGTTTTGGAGGAAAGAGGAACTGCTTTGTTCAGGAGAATCGGAGGGTGGGCAGGAGCTGCCAAGAAAATAGAAGTCTCTGGAAGATCAGCGCTCCCCAAAATCCAAAACCAAGTGCACAGCCATTGAGTGAATTGTGAAGCACAGTGACCTTGTAGGATAGAGCTCTGCTCCTGAGGGTTTCCAGGGGAGCAGACAGCCTCAGCTTTCTTTCTCCGAGCATCTGGAGGTTCAGCTCCCAACATTTTGTTAGCAGTTGAGCACTTAACTACTGCACTACCAAAACCAAAAACACGCCCACAAAAACTCCGCTACGTGCACCTCAATTCTGACTTGTAACCACCCTATAAGACAGAGTAGAACAGCTCCATAGGGTTTCCGAGGCTGTGAATCTTTATGGGAGCAGACTACCACATCATTCTCCTGTGGAGCGGCTGGAAGGTTTGAACCACCAACCTTTCAGTTAGCATCCCATTGCTTAACCCACTGAACCACCAGGAGCCCTGAATCTTTAGTCACGTTTAATACTAAAACTCACAACGTACTCAGTGAACGTAGATTCTATGTCATCTGTGGAGACCGGTGACAGAGCTGAGGTCACATCCAGAGTGGCCTCTGTCATGAGGACCCCAGATGGCGGTTCAGCTGCAGAACTATGGGGGCTCTGAGCTGTCACCCCAGACCTGGGAGGGGCAAGGTGGCAGCAGCCGCCCTCTACCTGCACCAATGGCTTGGGTAGAGGAAGGACACTAGACTGGGTGGCCCGAGAAGCCTGTCCCCAAGCCCTGCCGTAGGGGCCACTGGTGTTTGTGACCTCACAGGAGGGGCAGGAGTGATGTTCTCTGTGAGACCAGGGTCCAGCAGAGCCTTCCCTCAGGGGCAGAGAGCAGATGGCCCCTCCAGGAGGGAGCCGGGCAACACTCAGTTCCATGTAGGTCCACATTTGAAGTCATCATGAGGAAGGGCAAGAGGAAGAGGCCGGGTGCCAGGCGCCGAGATTCCGCCTCGCACAACTCCAGCTTGGAGTCCACCACCCCCACGTCCACCACCCCCACGAATCCCAGCTATAACTCTGCTCCCCAGTCTCCTAGCTCCACTCCCATCCCGCTGCATCCTAGCTCGGATACCAACTCGCAGCCTCTGAGCTCCGAGTCCAGTCCCCAGAACTCTGCACTCCCGGCTCTTCCAGCTCCTGAAATCAGCCAGCCCACTCAGTGTCTTTTACCTTTGGACATGAAAGCAGCCTTTCCATCTGAGAATCCAGGTGGGCCAACTTCTAGCAGGTCTAACCTTCCCCACACACACACCCCATGGGACCCTGGGGCTGCCCCAGAGGCAGGTTCTTGTAGAATAGTGATACTTAGTTAAGAGTATTCCAGCACTGTGCTTGTGGAAGAAGGCTTGGTGGCACTTTGGGTTGAGCATTGGGCTGCTAAAAGGTTGGTGGTTCAAACCCACTAGCCGTTCCTCAAGAGAGAAACATGAAATGGTCTACTCCTATAATGATTTATAGTCTCAGAAACCTTAAGGAAGAGTTCTACTCCATCCCATTATGAGTCGGAATTGACTCCAGCGGCAATGAGTTTGATGGGTGAATAGGTACTTGCAGAGTGTAAGGGATTTGGTTTTTACCTAAGTAGTCAAAATTCCTCCCTTTCCTTAGTGTCATTGAAGAAGACAGCCACACATACATAATAACATTTACTGTGGCTACTAAAATGTAATAAAACCAAGGATGCATTAATAGAAGTATATGGTTTAGAACAAGGGAGGTGGTATTTTACTCTGTTCTCATCAGGCTGTCCTTGTAAGCTGTAAGAGATGCCTAACAAATTAGTCCAAAGAGACAGTCCAGGTTGATGGGGGATGTGGGAACAGGGGAGAGCCAGGGACTGTTTGGTGTCTGAGAATTCACTGAAGGTACTGGATGGTGTCTGTCTGTCGGGGACGATGTGAGTAGACTTCTTCCATGCTGTCCCCAGAGGTGTGGCTAAGGGTCCAGGGATAGGGTTGCCTCATAAATTCCATGGCACCAGTTAAATTGGAATCCATAAATGTTAGCTATTATAATAGTTTGTGGCATAGCCAAGAGATTATTCATTGTTTATCTGAAACTGAAATTTAACAATGTATTCTGTATTTTCATGTGCTACATCTGGCGTCCTTACCCTGATGGAGCACAACAGGCAGGCAGATTTGTGCTCCCATAAAAAAAACAAAACAAAACAAAAAAATCTTTCCAACAAATTAGCTCTGTCTGAAAATGGAGTGTCTGTCTGGGAAAAGTGGTTCTCCAACTTTGTGGGGAGTCAGAGTCTGAGCAAGCACTGTCTCGTAAAGAGAGAAGTGAAGTGAAGTTTAGGAGATGGGTTAGTTACTAATACTAGTACTAGTAATGATAATGGTTGTAGCTATCCTTTATCACCAACTGCTTATTATGTACTGGGCACTCAGCTAGTTGTCTATGTTATTCTTCTCATTGGAAACTCCTATACAGTAGAAAATAATAGGAGTTTCCAATGAAAAGAATAACATAGACAATTAGCTGAGTGCCCAGTACATACTTCTCCAGAGTCCTGGCGTAGTGCTGTGAGTTAATGCACTAGACAGCAAGGTCTGTTTGAACTGAAAGATCGATGGTTCAAGCTCACCAGCCGCTCCTTGGAAACCCTATATAGGGTCACTATGAGTTGGAACCGACTCGATGATAGTTAACAACAACAATTATCTTCTCCTGGAGTCCTGTTGTACTGGACCGCTAACCACAAGGTCAGCAGTTCAAATCCACTAACCGCTCCTTGAAAACCCTATACAGTGTCACTATCAGAACCGACTTAATGGCACTTAATATCAGCAACAACATTATCATTTCCAGGGAGCACTGTGGCTCTGCAAAGTAAGCACCAGATTGTGAGCTACAGGGTCAGCAGTTCTAGCCCACCAGTTGCTCCTCAGGAGAAAGATGAGACTTTCTACTCCTGCAAAGATTTATAAGCCTTTGGAACCCTATACAGAGTCCCTATGAGTCAGAGCCAACTACATGATACAACAACAACATTATCATCTCCAAGGCGGTGCAGTGGTTAAGTGCGCCACTGCTAACCCGAAGGACAGTGGTTCAAACCCAGCAGCCACTCCTCAGAAGAAAGATGTAGTAGTCGGCTTCTGTAAAGATTTACAGCTTTGGAAACCCGATGGGACAGTCCTACTTTCTGTCCAGTAGGGTCACTGTGAGTCAGAGTCGAACGCACAGCAGTGGGTTTGTTACCATGTCCATTTTATAGATGTGTAAACCGAGGCTTGGAGAAGTCAGCTCACTCACAGTTGCGTTTCAAGTGCGGCACCTCAGAGGGCTTGCTCTTTGCCCAGGTCAGACCTTCAGGACCCAAGAGGCCTGGTGGGTTTCGGAGCTGCTCCTGAGCCCACCGTGAGCCTGTGGCTGGGCGGGCCTTGAGTCAGCCAAACTTCCGGCTTCTCCCTCTGGGATGTGAGCTTAAAACAAGTGAGAGATACAAGTGCTTGGACCCACCATAGCACCGTGATTATAGCATTTCTGTAACTGAGAATCAGACCCTGAGTGACATACGGTAATGGTTTTGAGTGCTACATTACATATTTTATATATTATCATCTACTGCTGAGATAAACGCTTCTGGATTATAGCCTTCAGAAATGGTATCTGTAGAAAGGGAATTATTTAATGAAGGCATGTGACCGTCACTCTGAGGGAAGAGGATAAATGTAAAAACTAACCATGCTTGATTTACTGAAGAGGCAAAGCAGAATATGGTGGCTTGTCCGAGGTTCCCACGGGCACCCCACCCCACCGCACCCCACCCCACACGCTTCTGTTGCCAAAGGGCTTTTCCCCTTTGAGCACCAGTTGAATGGAATGTTGGAGATAAAGGAGAAAGGTCCTAGCATGAAGAACTCCATTTCTAAAGAAAAAATGCCTTCCACGAGAAGCGTTGCAAGAATGTGGAAAAGTTGGAACCCTCACAGACCACTGGTGGGAATTTAAAATAGCAGTCGTTTTGGGAAGCAATGTGTCGTCCTGGTTGTGGTTGTTGGGTGCCAGAGTCAATTCCGACTCACAGTGACCCCATATGACAGAGGGTAACTGTCCCATCAGGGTTGTTTTCTTTTGTTTTTTTTGGGGGGGGAAGGGGCTGTAATCACACTTTGGACATGTTATCAGGAGATTCCAGTCCTTGAAGAAGGATGTCATGAATGGTAAAGTAGAGGGTAAGAGAAAAAGAGGAAGGCCCTCCAAACGATGGAGTAACACAATGGCTGGAAAAATGGGTTCAAAAGTAGGATGATAGTTAGGATGCCACAGACGGGCAATGTTGCACACTGTTGAATATGGGGTTACCATGAGTCGGAACTGATTTGAAAACAGCTAACAAAAACAATCTTCACAGCCCCAGGTTTCCAGTTCTTCTTCCCTCTGGGCCACTGTGCGGATGGATTCAAACTGCTAACTTTCCTGTTAACAGCAAAGTACCTAACGCTATACCGCCTTGTCTCCTTGAGTGACCAGCAATTCCACTCCTAGCTATGTGCCCAAGAGAAGTAAAGACATAGCCCCACACAGAAACATATACATGAATATTCATAGCATCATTATTTAAAATAGACAAAAACTGAAAACATCCCAAATGAAGGATAAACAAAACGCTGTGATCTATCCACACATGAGAACCCTGAGTGGTGCACATGGTTACCCTCTCAAGTAGTAACTGAAAAGTCTACAGTTTGAACCCACCCAGAGGCACCTTGGAAGAAAGGTCTGGTGATCTGCTTCTGAAAGGTCACAGCCTAGACAACCTCACAAAGTTCTACAGTGTAACACATGGGGCTGTTAGATTCTACCCCACCGCATACAATGGAACACTATTTGACAATAAAAAGAAATGTAGTACTGACTAGGCACTTACTGATGACTACAGCCTTCAGTATGGATAATACCTCACAACTGGACCAATAAGCAAAATTATGATGAATGGAGAAAAGATTGAAGTTGTCAAGGATTTCATTTTACTTTGACACACAGTTGAAGGACTTTTTCTACAAAGATAAGTCTCCGGTTGCAAATACCCTCACTCCAGCAGTTGAAGTTAATTTGTAAAAATAAATGATTCTCTATCCTTATAAAATCCTTTCCAGAAAAATCTCCAAGTGTGGGTGCCCCCGCTTCAACCCATCCTCAGCTGTAAGCATTAGAGCAAGTTATCAGGGACCTGTTTCCATAATTGCTCTTGGACAGGCTGGGTGGGAAGAGGAAGCAGTCCAAGACATCCTTCGTTCATTGGTCTCTATTTACCCCTTTAAAGTGTATATATTATTGTTTTTAGTATGTTGTTGTTAAGTGTCATTGAGTCAGTTCCAACTCACAGCCAGTGTGTTTGAACCACTGACCTTACAGTTCAAACCAACCTTGTGGGCCAGTGCTTAACCCTACAGTGCTACACTAAGACTCTTAGTAGGATTGAACTGCAGACCTTATGGTAAGTAATCCAGGGTTCATCCTACAGTTTGACCTGGAGCACAATAAAGATTATCTACATGGACTCAGGAGCTCTGGTAGCATAATGAGTTACGAGTCAGGCTGCTAACCGCAAGGTCAGCAATTCGAAACTACCAGTTACTCTTCTAGAGACAGATGAAAATTTCTGCTCCTGTAAAGATTTAGAGCCTTGGAAACCCTATACAGGGTTGCTATGAGTCAGAACTAACTCGAGGGCACACCAGACCACAATTAGGCCATATGTCCCCTACTCCCACTCCCTGAAAATATCCAACCTAGTCAAGATATTCACCTAGGAGCCCAGAGGGCCGGAGTTCCTGATGGGTGACCTTTACCTCCACTGCAGGGAGCCACTGGGCACTGCTCTGCTACCGGGAGATGTATCAGGAATATCTGCTATTTTAGGGAAGATGGACTTCTTCAGTAAAGCAATTCTATTTTTTTTTTTTTTTTTTAAGGGAGGTTAAATTGGGTTATAAGGCGCTCTGGTAGCGTAGTAGTTACGAATCAGTCTGTGAACCACAGGTCAGCAGCTTGAAACTACCAGCTGTTCATGGGAGAAAGATGAGGCTTTCTGCTCCCGTAAAGATTTACAGCCTCGGAAACCCTGTACAAGGTTGCTATGAGTCAGAACCGACTCCGCAGCACATAACAACAACAACAAATTGAGTTATGTGAAAGATACCCTAATTTTTTTTTTTTTTTAAATAAAAATCTTGTAGAACCTTGTACTCCCACATTCCAGGAGAAACCTTGTGGGGCCGATCTAGCAGAAAGTATGCCAGGTCTGCCTGGAGCTTAAAAACGAGTTGTCATTGAGTCCATTCCAACATGTGAGAGTAGAGCTGGACTCCACAGGGTTATTGATGCTGATTTTTCAGAAGTGGATCATCAGACCTTTCTTCCGATGGACTTCAACCTCCAACCTTTGGTTAGCAGCCAAGAATGTTAACCCTTTACACCACCCAGGACTCTCTTACAGAGCTTCCAGTTGGAAGAATCTGTAATTTTAGCAAGAACTGAGGACTTCAGAAACTGCACAAGAATGCATTGTCCAGTCAACAGAAGAGTGCGCCATCTCCCAGTATTCTGGGGATTGAGTTCAGGGAAGGACACACACAGAAGAAACGTTTGGGGCAATTATTTCCAGGGGGAGGAAAGATTAAAGTTGTCAAAGACTTCATTTTGCTCAGATCAACCATCAACACTCATCTAACCAATAGTGAAGCAATCAGATGACGTATTGCATTAGGCAGATCTGCTGCACAAGACCTCTTTGAAGTGTTCAAGAGCAAAGATGCCACTTTGAGGACAAAGGTACATCTGAACCAAGCCATGGTATTTACAGTAACGTCATATGCATGTGTGAAAGTTGGAAAAGAAGAATAAGAAGCTCATAGAAGAATTGATGCATTTGAGTTATGGTGTTGGAGGCCAATATTAAAAGTACCATGGACTGCCATACAAACTGTATCAGAAGAACAGCCAGAATGCTCCCTAGAAGCCAGAATGACCAGACTTTTTTTTTTTTTTTAACTTCATACATATTATCAGGAGGGACCAGTGACTGGAGAAGGACATCATGCTTGATAAAGTGGAGGGTCAGAGAAAAAGAGGAAGACCCCCCCAACTCGATGTATTGACACAGTGATATCATCAATGGGCTCAAGCGTAGCAACGATTGTGAGATTGACGCTGGACCGGGTGGTGTTTCATTCTGTTGTGAATAAAGTCGCTATGGATCGACTCAACAGCACCTAACAACAACAAAAACTAGAGGAGTCCTGGTATGGTGCTGTAGGATAAGCACTGGACTGCTAACTGTGTGGTTGGCAGCTCAGACTTCTTCAGGGTTGTTCCTCTGAAACCCTATGCAGGGTCGATGTGAGTCTGAACTGACTTGACAACACTTAACAACAACAAAATGAAAGCACTGGTTGTCTTCTGGAACAATGACATGAGACAGCCTGGAAGCAATTTCTGGACTCCCAGAGTGGCCTTTCACAGAGGAGCTGTCACCTGCTCTGTCACTTTCTGGGAATTCCATGGAAAACACTGACTTGAGAGTGAGAAACCCTAAAGTTCACTTTGGCAGTGGGCTTGCTATAAGGTGTGGGAGTGGGGGAGGAACAACAACAGAAAAACAGTTGTCCTCCGGTTGACTTCAACTCACAGTGTCCCTATTGTGTCAGAGTGCCACTACGCTCCTTAGGGTATTCAGTGCTGTGGTCTTTCAGAAGTGGACCACCAGATCTTTCTTCTGAGGCACCTCGGGGTGAACTCAAACTCCCAACCTTTCAATTCACTGTAGGAGAACCACTGGGCTGCTTATCAATTAGCAGCCAAGTGCTTAATCGTTTGCAACACCTGAGAGCCCACCCCTTAAGTTCTTTAAACCTCAGTTTCCTTATTTGTAAAATCAGAATACTAACGTATTTGATAGGGTCCGTCTGACAGTTAAATGAGATGGATGATGGTGTGAATGACTAGATGTGTAAGCCACTGTGTTCTTGTCCTTCCCAGGGTGTTCCAGCCCATAGAACCACCATTTCCCCAGACAGCCCTGTCCTGTTTGTTAAGGGAATGCTTTCTTGGAGAACTGCCTTCCTCATGTCCTCGATGGCTCCGTTAAGTCCTGGGTTTCCTGTGAAACCAATCACTGTGGCGCCTGAGCCTTTCCTACACGTGTCTTCGGGGCTCTCCCCCCAGCTCACCTCTTTCCTTTTCTGTCCACCCAGGGCCTCTGACCCCAGTGGGCCCGCACTCCTGCGCCTGCGTGCCCTGCCCAGGCAGCTCTGCCTGCTGCCGTCATCTGGGGCAGTGCCACAGCCGTATCTGCGATACCCTGATGCCCCGGGACTGGCATCCCCTCCCAGGGAGAGGAATCCCGAGCCTCCTCACTTTCTACAGGTTCCATGCATGTGGGGGGCTGGAGCCTCGGGGCGCATATTGTCCAGAGGGGCTCTGGTGGCATGGTGGGTTAAGTGTTGCCTAGCTGGCCAGCAGGTCGGAACTTTAAACCCACCAGCTACTCCAAGGGAGCATGATGTGACAGTTGGCTTCCCTAAAGATTTGCAGCCGTAGAAATGCTAGGGAGCAGTTCCACTCTGTCCCAGAGGGTCGCTGTGAGTCAGAATCCCTTCAGCGGCAGTGGGTTTAAGCATCGTATGTAACTTCCTCCTGAGGATCAGGAGCCCCAAAGACTTTTCTCCAGGACTCTAAGCCATTCCAGGTTGACCCCCTGCTAAGAATTTGGCTCTCCACCCCAGATATACTGAATCCAAATCTACATCTTCACTAGATGCCCAGGTGTATAAGTCCCCCACCTGAGTTGAGTGAGGGTCTTATGCTCTATTACCCACTAATTCCATCAAGGAAGGGCTGCCCACCAGTCACCATGCTTGACTTTAATAATCTTTACCTCCCACACATGTATGGAGCCGTTCCTTCAAGTGACAAATATGTCATGTTTTCATATCCTTAACCCACAAGTGTTATTGAGAAATACCCACTCTGCACCAAATACTAGGCCAGGCACACAATGAAGGAAACATTGACCCTTAAACCAGGGTAGTCCACACGGTACATTACGACCCAAGAGGAAGAGCAGCATTTCAGGAGAGAATTGTCCCTTTTGAATGGAGCTGCAATGAACAACAATGGTGTTTGAACTGAACCTGAGAGGCTTTCAAGGTCCTCTAGGGCCTAAAAGAAAAAGGGAGACCATTCTAGGTAGAAGAAAACGGCCAACACCAGGCTCAGAATTAGAAAAGTGAGCGGAGAGGGCGAGGGAATCCAGTTTGGCCAGGGTGAGATGTGTTTTACGGTTCAAACTGAAACATCTGCCCTCAAATTCTTAGCACTCTCAGTGGAGTCTAACAGTGACCTTGGTTTTAAATATGATGGGGCTTCTAAAAGCTGGTAGAAAAATGGAATTAAAAAATAGTCGTTTTTCCACCAACTTTTTGAAGCCCCCTCCTACATTGTCATGTTACATGAGAATCTCTATCATTCTCGTGTCACTGTGGGATAAGCACTGGACTGCGGAACCAGGAAGTCAGCAAACCCACCAGCTACTCCTTGGAAACCCTACAGAGGGTTGCTATAAGTCAGAACTGACTTGACGGCACTGAACAACAGCATTCATTGGGTAGTGTCTTTTTTTTTAGATGTCTTCCTTGAATCCTTGAAGTTTTTGACACAATCATATACAAGGGGACTACAAAAGTTTGTGGGAAAATCCACTCTTTTAATTCTGTTTTTCTGCAAACTTTTGGAAGCCCCCTCAGATTGCCCTGGCTTGTGTGGTAGAAGCCCCTTAGGGCTTCCTCAACTCTGAAGTGAAGCTAGCTGGTGGGGCCTACTTCACAGGTTATTGTGAGGAGCAGATGCTGGTGTGGGGTCTCACTCAGTGGCCGCTCGGGGCTCCACCACCTTCCTTCCCCTCTGAGTGTCCAGAGGTGCTGTGCCCCAGCCAGCTGGTTTAGATCCTGGGGGTCCAGGGTGCTGGTAGTGGTGGGGAGAGTTCAGGAGGATGGATGGGGGGGGAGATGGGTGTCCCTGTGGTCCTGAGGGGTCCCACAATTCCAGATTTCCCCAGACCTGTGGCCGACACTCACACCCCGTGTGCTTTCTGCATTGCTTTACAGAAGATCTGGAAGAAAACATTCATTCTACCGTAGCGCACGCGCTCCAGGCTCTCGGGACCGCTGCTGTGGCTCTGGGAATCCTGGGAGCTGCTTTCTACACCATTGAGTCCTTGTGAGCCAGCCCCAGTCCTCGTCCGGCAGGTGTGGCCCCCTCCTGCCCCCTGCCGTTGCCGGAAATCCCCCCAAAGCCCCCGACACACAGTCCCTGTAGCGCCCACCCCTTACAGAAAGGAGGTGGTCTTTCCAGCTCAACCAATCTCCCCAGCTTCTCAAGGAAACCAGCGGCCAGTGGGAGCCCAATGATTGGATCCTGACCCCAGAGACTGTCTGAACGTCTCTCAGGATTATCAAGATAATTAGGGTTATCAAGCTATAGCCCCCTACACCCTCAGGGTCAGTATCCTAGTACGAATCAGGTCCCCCCTCCCCCCATGTGCAGAGTAGAGCTTTGCTCTGTAGGATTTTCAGTGGCTGCTTTTTTGAGAAGTCGATTGCCAGTCTTTTCTTCTGAGGGGCCTGTGGGTGGATTGGATACTCCACACTTTTCCACACACAGCTAACATGTTAACCGGGTGCACACCCTTGGGACTTCTGGACCCATTCCACGAAGCTTAGTTCCCCCTGATGGCTGACTCCTTAAGCCACGGGTTTGACTTTGGGCCCTGCGCCCTGAATGCTTAAGGTTTTGGTTCTTCCTTCTTGGGAAGTTCTGGGTCCAGTTGAAACTGCCCGGGAACCAAACATTGTCCCCATAGCAGAGGTATGTATCAGCTCTCCCATTCTCCATTAACCTCTTCGTGTCGAACTGCTCTGGTGCAGACTGACCTCAGGCAGGGTCCTTTCGAGTCCCTAGAGCCTACTGCTGGCCATTCTGAGAGGGCTTTTCCCCAGTGACCCATAGTGACCCAGTGCTTTTTTCCGGTGGCTGCTTGGCTGCCTGTGCTTGGGATAATGCTAATTGCTTGGACTCTGTCCCAGGGCAGGGGACGGGGGTGTGCTGCAGGGTCCTCGCTTACACGAGAGGTCTGCTTACTCAGAAACTTCCAGAAATGTCAATGCAGGAGCCTGGACACAAGCCTAGTGTCTCCCACCCACCTCCCCAGCCCCACACACATCTGTGTAGAGAATGGGTGCAGTTCTCAAGTTTCAGTACCAGGCTCTGGGAGGGAGAATGGCATGGTCAGGATGGAGACTTATGGCTACCAGCCAGCCAAGGCTGGGTGGGAATTTGAGGATGGGGGCTGGCAACTCTTTCCACAGGAGACAGGCCAGAAGGCAGAGTTTAGATGGGAAAGTGCCCGTTCAGTAAATGATTAAGTATGTGTTGTACACCTACTGTTTGCTTCAGGAGTAACCAAAGCAGATAAGGGCTCTCTCCTGAGGGAGCCCACATCCTAGTGGGAACAGACAACCCACACGTCACCCAATAAATAGGGTCATTTTATTCATGTGACCACAGAAATAGAGACTGGGCACAGAGGGGTCGGGAGCAGCAGTGGAAGCTACTTTAGGGGAGACAGGTCATAAAGGGTTCTGGGAGGAGGTGGAAGAGCCTGTATGGGGTTAGGACCCAGCCCTGTGAAAATCCAAGGGAAGAGTGTTCTGTGCAAGGGGCACAGCAGATACAATGATGCTGCGGCAGGAAAGAGTCAGATGTGTGGGGGGACCGGACAAGAGGCCATTGTGGTAGGAGTTTGGTGAGGGAGGGGAGAGGCCAGGGAAGGCAGAGGCCGGATCAGGCAGAGCTTTGGGGTTTCCATGGAAGCAGAGCCTTATGTAGCACTTTCTGTATGAATGCGTTGTGCCTCCAGTCACAGACAGCAGCTCACGCAGGTCATTTAGATTTGAGAACAGCCCCAGCACTTGTTGGGTAGAAAATGAATGGGAAGGTGGTGAGGAGCCAGAAGACCAGGTAGGAGATGCGTGTACTAGTCCTGACCGCTGAAGGAGGGGCCAGACTTGGGCCAGGGTGATGGCTGTGGAGGGGAAGGACAGGTATGTTAGGGAGGTAGACTCAACAAATTGTGCTGACAAATTGGACGGAATGATGAGGGAGAGGGAAGCCTCAAGGACAAACCCAAGGTCAGAACACCATCGCAGATGAGTGAGGCAGCCACGGAAGGGGATGGAAACCAAGGAATCTGTTTTGTGGTTAATGCTGAGATGTCCAACCACCAAATGGGGCGACAATGGTAGTCCAGTGGTAAAATTCTCACCTTCTAAGCAGGAGACCTTGCTTGCTGAAAGTGAAGAGGATTTAAAACATTTACTGGTGAAGATCAAAGAGCACAGCCTTCGGTATAGATTACATCTCAATGTCAAGAAAACAAAAATCCTCACCACTGGATCAATAAACAACATTCTTATCAACAGAGAAAAGATTGAAGTTGTCAAGGACTTCATTCTTCTTGGATCAACTATCAACACTCAAGGAAGCAGCAGTCAAGAAATCAAATGACGTATTGCATTAGGCAAATCTGCTGCACAAGACCTTTTTAAAGTGTTGAAGAGCAAAGAGGTCAGCTTGAGGACTAAGGTGTGCCTGACCCAAGCCATGGTATTTTCAATCACCTCATATGCATGCGAAAGCTGGACAGTGAATAAGGAAGACCGTAGAAGAATTGATGCTTTTGAGTTAGGGTGTTGGAGGAGAATATTGAAAGAGCCATGGGCTGCCAAAAGAACCAATAGATCCATTTTGGAAGAAGTGCAGACAGTTCCCTGCCCCCTGGTGATTGTTGGTATATATTAAGGTGCTTTGTAAGCTGGGTGGGTGCCCCTACCAGGGGCTACACTCCGATGTCTTTTTTTTTTTAAATCAAGGTTGTAAAATGAAAGTATGTTTTGGTAGGTTTCCGAATGCCAACTAGACATAGGAAGACTTGATACGTGTATTTTAAATCAGATTACTTGGGGCTGCAAATTTCAGAAAACCTAATTCCAAACAGTAATGAGAAGGCTATCTCATCACAAGACCCACTGAGGGTGCCTGAGCGGGTGAATTCAACACTGGCAGCAGGGACTTCTTAGCTGTCTGTTTGGTCACCTCTAGCAGATGGCAGGCCACTTCCCCTCGTGGGCAAGATGGCTGGAGGAGTGCCCAGAATTGCTTCCTCATCTGCCCACTGCTAGAGGCAGGAGAAAGGGCACCTCTCCGTAGTGTTGTTCTTAACCCAGAAGCCTCCTCCCTAGCAGATTTGCTTCCACACCTCATTGGTGTGACATGCCCCTGAATTGGGTCTCATGCTCCTTAAGCAAATGACTAGCAAAAGGAGTTGGATTCACATGAATAGATTAGGCCAGTCTAGATCTGTGGTGGCACAAAGGGTTGTTGATCTATGATGACTAACATTGTAAACCCATCCAGCGGCACCGTGGAATAAAGGTCTGGCTGTCGACTTCCATAAAGATTGTTGTTGGTGTGAAGTGCCATCAAGTCAGTTCCAACTCATAGTGACCCTGTATGGTATTTCTGAGGAGCAGCTGGTAGATTTGAACCATTGATCTTGTGGCTCAAACTGACCTTGTGGTCCCCACATTATCCTGTAGTACCTCACCAGGACTCCTCCATAAAATTGCACCCGGAACCATTGTACTCTGTATCCTATGGGGTCACCAGGAATTGGAATCAAGTATAGAAGTGGGTTTGGCGGTTGTTTAATTACCTCCACATTCTACACCAAGGACTGGGGCTGGGATGACTTTCCTCTGGCACAAGGTCAAGCAAAGGAGGGATGCATTCTAACAAAATGGTGCTCCTGCCAGCAAGGAAGAAGTGACAGTGGATTAGGATGAGGGACACCTGTATCAGGCAAGAGTATTTTTCAAGCTAATAGGGTTGTTTGAATCCTGGTGTAGCGCTGCATGATAACACGCTAGACTGGAAGGTTGGCTTGAACCTGAAGGTCAGTGACTTAAACTCATCCGCTGTTTCTTGGACACCCTATACAGTGTCGCTGAGTCGGAACCAACTCAATAGTACTTACAACAATAGGGTCACTGGGCGCAGGATGAACTTGAACAGACAGACTTTGTGGGCTCAAAGTTCAGGGATGTGCTGTAGTCATTGGAAATGCCCATAAGCGGGTGTGAGGGTGCATGTGGGATACACGGGGGGGTAAACTGTGGGGGTACACTATGGGGTACACTGTGAGGGTGCATGTGGGCTACACTCTGGGGTACACTCTGGGGGGTACATGTGGAGTATACTGGAGGGGTACACTGTGGGGATATGCTGTGGGGTACATTAGGGTACACTGTGGGTACACTGTGGGGTATACACTGGGTACACTGTGGAGGGTACACTGGGGGTACACTGAGCCATCCTGAGCTTTGTAGGCTCAGTTCTTAGTCCCCATGGAAAGAAAGGAAGCACAGACAGGGTGTCCTGCTCTGTCCAGAGAGAAGAATCTGAAGGCAGTGGCAAAGCAGTCTCCTCTCTGAGGAAAGATGCTTCTAGAATTTTCTTTCCTAAAGCTTGGCAAACCTCTCCCTTGGGGTCCCACCAACTGATGAACTAACAGTGAGGGGTTTCTTCCCTGTTCTTTCTGAGCACCGAATGTAGTGAAACTCATTACCACAGCCTCACTTTTGGTGAGGGAGGCTCCATCTTAACTGCTCGGGCCAGGAGCGCAGACGTGTCAGGCACAGTGTGTAAACGTTACAGTGTAAAGCGGAAGAACTCTCACGTGGCTGTGTTCAGCTCCCAGGAAAAGTGAACATGAAAAGGAAACACTTGGAATCTCACAGAATTCATGTTTCCACAGAAGGATCTTAGACTGATCTAGTTGCCAACCCCTGGCCCATGAGGCTGTTAAACCAGGAAGCCCCCAGTGAGGTGACACCCTAACTAATGGCTCTGTCCTTGTCTTGCAGATCCAGTGCCCATCATGGATCAAACTTGTCACTAAAATAAAACAACAAAAACAAAGGACTTCTCTTTCTTTAGTGTATTTACACTTGGCAAATGGGTAGAGAGGTAAGTGGTGGCCTCAGCAGCTTTTAGCCACAGGTAAACCAGAAGCTTTGCTGCCGATCCAAGGCCACAGCCCTGAGGTGGGGCTGTTTGGTTGGCATGTGTTCAAAGAACAATTTTCCGCTTAAAAA